GTCATCCCTGAGGGTCAGTTCATTGACAACAAGAAGGCTGCAGAGAAGCTGCTTGGATCAATTGATGTTGACCATGACCAGTACAGGTTCGGACACACCAAGGTAAGTACCTTCAATGGTGTCCTAGATATTGCTGCCTTACTGGCATATTATATCTTTTGCAAAAAAAGAACATTCCTGAAAATTCTTAGTCAGTGAAAGTTCTTCATTGATACCATGAAGGTTAGATTTCAAATTTCTTCGATCCTGGATTCTGTTTCTTTTTCACCAACTCCAAATTTAAGGGTAAATACTTAAACCCAAACAATTTTCAAGTTTTGATGGTACTTTGTGTTAAGTGGAAATTCAGATTTCCATAAAATTTAAATAAACTTGAAAATGACCAATACTAAGTCATCATGAATTTGACACAAAATGTCCTACAACTGTAAAAATGCTCTTGCAGCAACAGAGGATGCCAGTATCTGTCAAAACAGTGCAGCTACTGTGTCAGGCATTTGGCATAACTGTCGTTGCCTGATAACGTCTGAATATGTGTAATAAATGTCACATTTAATTTGACTGCATATACACACTGTGAGTCTTTTCTAATTTACTGCTTAGTATGGTGTATTGTGAAGACATACAGTCTCTGTCTTCTGTTTTGATTAGGTGTTCTTCAAGGCCGGTCTGCTGGGTACCCTTGAGGAGATGAGAGACGATAAGCTGGCAGCTCTGGTCACCATGACTCAGGCTCTTTGCCGTGCTTACCTCATGAGAAAGGAGTTTGTCAAGATGATGGAGAGGAGGCATGTTGAAAACAGCAAAATCTGAAAACAAAGTAATAGTAACAATTAGAAAAATATCTCTGTCGTAACAGAAATTCTTGTCCACAGGGATGCCATCTTCACCATCCAGTACAATGTCCGCTCATTCATGAATGTCAAACACTGGCCATGGATGAAGGTGTACTACAAGATCAAGCCTCTGCTGAAGAGTGCTGAGACTGAGAAGGAGCTGCAGCAGATGAAGGAGAACTATGAGAAGATGACAAGCGACCTGGCTGCTGCCTTGGCCAAGAAGAAGGAACTGGAGGAGAAGATGGTGTCTCTTCTGCAGGAGAAGAACGATCTGCAGCTGCAAGTGGCATCTGTAAGTAGACATCAAAAGAAAGCTGTGCCTTTTATTTCAAGTCTGCATGTCCACAAACTGTAAATGTGCTAACGTCCTTTCTCAAATGTAAACAAGGAATCAGAGAATCTGGTAGATGCTGAGGAGAGATGCGAGGGTCTCATCAAGAGCAAGATTCAGCTGGAGGCCAAACTCAAAGAGACCACTGAGAGACTGGAGGATGAAGAGGAAATCAATGCTGAGCTCACTGCCAAGAAGAGAAAGCTGGAAGATGAATGCTCTGAGCTCAAGAAGGATATTGATGACCTGGAGCTTACCTTGGCCAAAGTGGAGAAGGAGAAACACGCCACTGAGAACAAGGTTTGTCAACTTGAATATATCTAGCAGAAAAAATACCATTTAGGAATGATGCAGTCACGCAATAACAACATGCTTCCTGCACACATAGGTGAAGAACCTGACTGAGGAGATGGCCTCTCAGGATGAGAGCATTGCCAAGCTGACCAAGGAGAAGAAAGCCCTTCAGGAGGCTCATCAGCAGACTCTTGATGACCTGCAGGCTGAGGAAGACAAAGTCAACACTCTGACCAAGGCCAAGACCAAGCTTGAGCAGCAAGTCGATGATGTAAGTTTCAAGTCACTTGGACAGGTAAAACTGGATTCTTCTTGAATCTTGAATGCGATAATAACAAACCCATATCCCTGTGCAGCTTGAGGGTTCTCTGGAGCAAGAGAAGAAGCTCCGTATGGACCTTGAGAGAGCCAAGAGAAAGCTGGAGGGTGATCTGAAACTGGCCCAGGAGTCCATCATGGATCTTGAGAATGACAAGCAGCAGTCTGAGGAGAAACTTAAGAAGTAACTAAGTTCAGCTTGTAATCTCAATTTAAATACAACTAGCATGTCTCAAGACACAGTCCAGAGTATAGATGAACTCTTACTATGCATTTCATTACTCTCACAGGAAGGACTTTGAAATCAGCCAGCTCCTCAGCAAGATTGAGGATGAGCAATCAATGGGTGCCCAGCTTCAGAAGAAGATCAAGGAGCTCCAGGTGACTCATACGTTGTGTTGCTTCAAACATCACTCCTATATTTCCTACTCGGTCATTCAGATTTGAACCTTTACTAAAAGACTACACATCTACATCCAACAGGCCCGTATTGAGGAACTGGAGGAGGAGATTGAGGCTGAGCGCGCTGCTCGTGCCAAGGTTGAGAAGCAGAGGGCTGACCTGTCCAGGGAACTTGAGGAGATCAGTGAGAGGCTGGAGGAGGCCGGTGGTGCAACTGCTGCTCAGATTGAGATGAACAAGAAGCGTGAGGCTGAGTTCCAGAAGCTCCGTCGTGACCTTGAGGAGTCTACTCTGCAGCATGAAGCCACCGCTGCTGCTCTTCGCAAGAAGCAGGCCGACAGCGTTGCTGAGCTGGGAGAGCAGATCGACAACCTGCAGCGCGTCAAGCAGAAGCTTGAGAAGGAGAAGAGTGAATACAAGATGGAGATTGATGACCTCTCCAGCAACATGGAGGCTGTTGCTAAAGCAAAGGTACTAAATACATTCACTTGCAGTAGTCAATATCAAAACTACATTAAACTGTCAATAATATCAAGAAAATCATATCACTGATCTGATTTCTCTTCTCCTCATTAGGGAAATCTTGAAAAGATGTGCCGCACTCTTGAGGACCAACTTAGCGAACTGAAGACCAAGAATGACGAACACCTCCGTCAGTTGAATGACGTGGGTGCACAGAAAGCTCGTCTCCTGACAGAAAACGGTATGTACAAAATAGTGTGTACATGCAGTGATCTTTAGTGTGGGACAGAGGAAGTGAACAAAAACTCAAGTTCGATGACTATTTTCACTCCAGGTGAGTTCGGCCGTCAAATTGAGGAGAAGGAGGCTCTTGTCTCCCAGCTGACCAGAGGCAAACAGGCCTTCACACAGCAGATTGAGGAGCTGAAGAGACAGATTGAAGAGGAGGTTAAGGTAGGAAACCTTCAACTTAAGTGTGTCTTGCCATTATTGCTTGGGGATTTAGGCATTTTGCACATTCAATTGTTTGTGTAATTCCAGGCCAAGAACGCTCTTGCCCATGGACTGCAATCTGCCCGCCACGACTGCGACCTGCTGAGGGAGCAGTTTGAGGAGGAGCAGGAGGCCAAGGCTGAGCTGCAGCGCGGAATGTCCAAGGCCAACAGTGAGGTGGCTCAGTGGAGAACTAAGTATGAAACCGATGCTATCCAGCGCACAGAGGAGCTTGAGGAATCCAAGTGAGTACCATTCAAACA